ATGGAAAAACAAACACCACATGCACTCAATACTGAATTGGAACTAATCATTTAACACTTACGTGCACATATGGAAGTAAAACTCAAAGCAAATGAAGTAGGTGGGAGGGGAGAGGAGAAGATGAGTAAATTCACACCTAAAGTGTACAATGCCCACTATCTGGGTGAAGGGCACACTTATAACTTTGACTCAAACTGTACAAAAGCAAATTATGTAACCAAAATGTGTGTACCCCTGCAATATTCTGAAATTAAAAAAAAAAAGGAGCTTTACAAAATATTTGTCATAAAAGGGGAGCATTGGGTCTGGTAGGGTTGGGAACTACTAGATTAGAGTGAGAAGATCAAGAGATGACATTTGGAGAAACTGAGAGTCTATGGGCTCTGGAAGGGCTGCTTGGGCACCTAGGTGAAGAGGTGAGGCATGGAGTGAATGAGGGTCCCCTCGCCTGCCTACTCTGCCACAGGCCTCAGAACAACGCTGGCCTCCAAGAGGTCTCTTGGCCCCAGCTGGGGAGAGCTCCACTGGGTGGAGAGGGCCCTCCCAGATAGCCCAGCTAGTGGTGGCAGGAGTAGGGTGCTTTAATAGGGAGCCAGGGAGAAAGGACATGTGCAGACACATTCCCTAGTGGCCCCTCAGGAAGCCCTTAAAGGAAGGGCTGAGCTTCCATGGATGCAGGGGCACCTAGAGGAATGGGAATTTGGACATCAGTGCAAAGCATGACCTCATTTGCACCCACAGGCTAGAGAGGCCTGGGAGTGTCGGTTACCCTGACCATGGACATTCTCCATCTTGACCCAGAATAACCACCCTCCCCTTCTGAAGGGCTGGCTCTGCTCCACAGTTTTTCTCTCATAGAACATGAGGCCTGTTGGCTCAGAATAGATTAGAAACATAGCTTCTCTATATGCCAACCCAAGATGTCATTACCCCTCAGGTAACAGAACAAGAAGGGGAAGAGAGAAATGATGTCCAGAGGCTCAGAGTAAGAAACGCTGCAATGGATTTAGACATGTGGTTGAAACTCGAACAATGATTCCAAAACCCCTGTGGTCAGAATGCTCCAAACAGTGTTGAGGCTGCTCCTCCAAGAAGTCTGAAAGGCAAATGGCAGAGTTCGAGGAGACAGGGACGGGCCACGTTTTCTGTCTCTCACCCTCACCAACACTGAAAATAAGACAAGTTCAGACTGGCTGAAGATGAGAGGTATGGGTTTAGGCAGGATTGTCGAGGAAACTGTCTTCCAGCAAAGGCAGTGGGGTTCCGAACTGTGCCTGCCATGCCTTCAAGAAAGATGGTGAGACAGTCTTCAGAAGGGGTATGAGAGAGAGAGAGAGAGAGAGAGCACGCGCTCGTTTTCTGCTACAGTTTAAGTACATTGATTTCCTGTTGTGAGGGAGCAGGCTGATGACAGATTTAAAAGCCAGCCTGAGGTTTTGAGAATTTAGAGCTTCCTTTATAGGGAAGCTGCCAATTTTGAAATGTCACCATGTTGGCTGGAGGGAAAAAGAGCAGAGCTCATTCTTCAGGAAGAAGCATGAGGAAGCAGAATCAGTAGGTTCTAGAATAAAGGGCAAGTACTCAAATGTGGATATTTGAGTGTTGATATTGTCATAAGGTAAGAGTCATATTCCCAGTATACTAGATACCAATGGTTCTCAAACTTGAATGTACCTCAGATCACCTGGTGGCTTATTAGAATGCAGATTGCTGGGCCCCTCCCCCAGAGTTTTGGCTGCAGCAGGTGGTGGGGAGGGCCTGTGATCTGCATTTCTAACATGCTCCCAGGTGATGCTGGTGTTGCCGGTCCATGGACCATACTTTGAGAATCGCCTCTCGAGTTAACGACCTCCAGAAACGCTGTCTCCTGCTAAGTTGTTGAATGGTCTTGGGAAAGCCTCAAGACCTCTCTTGGGACTTGGTTTCCCAAGCTTTACAATGGGAATAAAACTGTAACCCTCTGAAGTGGAATAGAAAAGATAGTAAGGTCTAAAATAGATAATAAAGCTGCGGAAGTGCTTTGAAATTTATGAAGTGTTATGAAATGTACGTATCCAAAGAGCTTGTATAGGAAGGCACAGGGTAAGTACACATTTTCATAGAGATGTGAGCTGTCGTTATACTCCAGAGTGGTCAAGTGACTGGACGCAAGTTTGATACGGGGGTTTGTTGAGTGACTAAAGTAAGGTGGAGATGTAGCAGCTGAGTGGTCCTTTACGTGGACAGACCCACAAGACAGTTCAGGCCCCAGAAACTCCCTGTGTTGAGTTCAGCTGAATCACGACAGGCTGCTGCATACATCCAGGGTTGGAGAAACATGGGCAGACAGGAAAATGCAAGCGGGAACGCGCCCGTCAGGCCGCCTGCAGCGCTGTGGGCCGCCCGTGCCCGCAGCGTGGGCTCTTTCACTCACCCTGTTGTCTTCAGGTGTAGGAGGAAGAGGCTTCTTTGAAGCTGAAACAAGAAAAACAGAAAAAGAAAAAATGAGCATGAAACCCAACCAACCCACCCGGAGGTGAGCAGCTGGGGGGCTTTTCGGAGAAAAGGGGCCCAGGGAGAACAACGGAAGAGAAGGGGACAGAAGGAGACAGAGACGCAGAGAATCCAGAGCCAGAGCCCATCTATAATCTCTTCCAGCCTGCTGCTTCCCCTTCCCCTTTTCTAGGGGATACCAGCGGATTCTAGAAGTCCATATTCTGGGTCCTCTTTTTCTATGTTCCGAGGAAAAGCCTGACAGAGGGGCTGGACTTGCGCCCTGCCCTGTAGGCACAGAGACTGCCACCAATGTCTCTGCCACCTGCTAAGCCCAGGGGTGGGAATCGATGACTCAGGGCAACAGTGACTCACAGACTCCCTAATGCTGCTGGGGCCTGAGGAGGGGTGGAGGAGGGGGAGGTCACTCACTGCGCTGCTTGCTGAGCACTGGAATCCACCTCTAGCTGCCCTAAGGCGTCTGACTGTGTGTTCTTTCTGCTTCCCTCACACTCCCTCCCCCCAGCATCTCTCTCTCTCTCTCTCTCTGCTCATCTCTTCATGTCCCCGTGTCTCCCTCCCTTTAGCTGTCCTCTCTCTTCCTTCTTTCCTCCTTTCTCCTGTCTTCTCCCTCTCCCTTTCCCTCTGTCCTTCCTTTTGTCTCTCCATCTCCCTCGCTGTTTCTCCTCTGTGGCACTGCAGAGGTCAGGCCTGGCTCCGGGTAGCACGGGCGCGTGTCTGGGGGTGTCTGGGAGTATGTGTGGCATGCGGGGCACCGCACAGGCTTCGGCCCGGTACAAAGATTTCTTTCATAATTAGAGATGAGAAGAAAATGGGCCGCATGAGTACGTGGTGGGCTGTTCCTCCCTGCATGGGGCTGACTTGAAGCCGGACGGCCCGTGTCAGGGATGCGGGAGAGGAGAGTCACCCAGTGACGCTGACCCCGTAAGCAAGGGCAGGCTGGAATACTGACATGGGAACACAATTAACGGAGAAGAAGGAAAACCCACATCATCGGAAATACGGTTTCCATTTCACGCTCAACCCGGGGCCAGGAGACTGGCCTCCTAAGCCCAGCTCCACCGATACGAGCTATGTGGCCTTGGGCCCTTCCAGCCCTGGACATTCTGTGACTGGTCTCTCTTTCTGCTCCCCCTGGCCCTGCTCTTCCCCTCCTCCCACTCGCTCTGTGAAAAGTTAGTACGTGGGGAGATCAGGGCTGGTTCTGGTTGCAGAAATGGGTGTTGCTGTGGGTTGGGCGTAGCAGGGTCTATTTTCACTCAAGCACTTCTGCTGCTTCCCAGACACACACATGCACTGCTGTATCTCAGCCTCGGAGGCTTCCGTCCACAAATAAGAAAGACTGGTAGACACAATTACCATGTATCTGCCACTCATGAAGTGCCAGCAGCTCTCCTGCTTTCCCTAACCCAGAGAAGTGCCCAACAAGCCCACACAGTAGTTACTTACTGTCCTTATCCCCATTTTACAGGTGAGGAAACTCAGAGGCTCAGAGGGCTTAAGTAACACATATGAAGTCACACAGCAAGGAAGTGGTGGGCTGGGACTCACCTAGATGTTTTTTCACTCTAAAGCCTGTGCTCATAGACCCTGCGCTGTCAGCGTGCCCAACCCAGGCAGCCTGCGAGCTTCCGCCCCGGGCCAACGACCGCGTGCTGTGTTCACAGCACAGTGAGCTTCTCAAAGCCTCTGCTCTGCATTGTGTCAGAACTGCCAAGGGCGAGGTTATTGAGCCAACTCAGGAGAGGGGAGAGTGCGGAGATGCTCAGAGGGGGAGATGGCAGCGGGTTGCAAAGCAAAGGCAGAGCCATTAGCAGAGCGACCGCACACGCACGGGAGGCACCGAGGTGGTCAGGCCCTGGGTTCGCGTGGGGAGGAGGGACTCGGCACGACCAGCCCTCCCTGAGCGTAGTGCTGGTGAGTCATTCAGATGCTCCTAACACCTCAGTCACGTGCTTGCCACTCAGCGGAGGCAAATACTGGGTGCCCTGAAGAGGAATAGCTGCGACACACATGCAAAAATTTTAAAAATTGCAAAATGGAAACACAGATGCAAAGAATTTCAGAATTGGACGGGGGCTTACATATCAATTCATCCTAAGCCCCCAAGGCCTCCCCTACTATTTTACAGATGAGGACATCAGAGCCCTTGGTGGCCAAATGACGCATCTGAGGGCCCACAGCAAGGTGCTGGCAGGAGTTTGGAGAGCAGACCTGTGGCTTTGGAAAGGGCTTTCACTCACGGAGATGAGCCCCTGCCATCCCTTTATGATGGCAGATTCCAACCATCTATTAAAACCATCTCTCTCTTTTTTGTTAAATACTGGCCTTTGTGAGTATGGCCAATGGGACTAACATGGAGGGTCATTGACTTCTGAAACTTGGTTAGTATTATTTTTCTGGGCCAAGGGACTGATAACATTGAAGGACTTTCTTTCCCAAGGTGCAGGGTGAGAAATGGTGGTTTTTAACGTGGTACTGAGAGGAGGCGTGACTCAGGAAGCCACGGAAAACCCAGCTGTGTGTTACATCCGCCTTGAGTTGTCAAGCTGAGGTATTAAATGTTAGTGCAAACAGAAACTGACAGATGAGAAAAGGTAGCAATGGCAAAAGAAGTCGAGAGGAGAGGAAAATGGCAGCAAAGCAATTCGCATGGGCCATGTAGCAGCTGTGTGGCCTGGAGTTATCTGTCCTTTAACATCACAGCATCTGCCCAGAGGGTTGAGAGGAGCAAGGGCACAACGAGGGTGGGAGTGCATTAGGGTGGAGTTGCACTCTACTGGTTAAGGCCCCACAGTCACGACATAAGGTGAAATCGAGTTGCAGCCCAATCCCTAGGACTTGAGCCTTTGCTAAGGCCAAGAAACAATTTCTTCTGTTTGAGCTTTGCATCTAGACTGTGGCCTTCTTTTCTCTGAGATTGGGAAGGTCAAGGGTGAGTTTGAAGGGGAAGTGGGGAGAAGCCACACAGTAAAATAAAAAGCTTTTTTTTTTTATTTCCTCTCCCCCTTAAGTGTATAGAGTTGAATTTGTGTAATTAAACACATGTAGGATGGTGATGCCACTGTAAGAAATATATAATAATATATATCACTCAAGGCTGTCTCTGTATTTTAAGGTTTAAGTAGACCAAGCCATTCAAATTTCCTAACGTGAAGGTGATAGCAGGGCACCTTGAATCTTACTGTGCACACAAATCTCTTGGGCATCTTGTTAAAATGCAGATTCTGATCCAGTAGGTCTTGGGTGGGGCCAGAGAATTTGCATTTCTAATTAGCTCCCAGGTGATGCTGATTTTCTTGGTTCAAAGCCCACACTTCGAGCAGTCAGGAGTTATAAAGACATCAGCATTGAGATGAGAAAGCACAAACAGACTGGTGATAAAGATACATGATTCTCCTTTGAAAATGTACAAGTTTGCATTCCGTCCCTGGCACCCCTGATGATGGGAAGCTAAGAGCTTTTACTCTTTTATACTCGTTTCACAAAGAAAGGGAATTCCCCGTCTCTTACCATTCTTGGTTGGATCATACTGGGCACAGCCTGTTGCAAGCTTCTCCAGCTGAGAACAGCACCTCCACCTCCCATCCATCCAGAAATTAGGATGGTACTTGGACACCAAACTGTTATTATTCCTCGTTTCTGAAAGGGATTGGCACCAGCAGAAGAGTTAGTTCCAGGTCAGTCTATCAAGGGCCACCAACTTTATAACTGCCTGAGATTGGACCCTGCTGTGCAGGCCTGAATGAGTGTTACCCAGAATTGTCAGAAGAACGGCCTTGACCTGAGCACATAAACTCACTGTGCTTTTTACTGTCAGAATGCGTGTTGGATTTAGGCATCAGCAGGTCTGGGTTCTTGTCTGGCTCTGCCTTGGGTTAGTTGTGTGTCCTTAGGTTAGGCAAACCCTCAACTGAGCCTCAGTTTCCCCCACTATGCAATGACGTTTTTAGACTGGATCATTGGGCTCTACAAAATGACTTAAGGGTAATGGGAAGGTTGAGAGAGGGTCGATTTCGAGATTCCTACCCTTCCGCCTCTCTCACCTTCAACCACAGCAATTTTGCTTTTATCCCTTCTAAATCTGTAGCTTTGAAGTAAGATTTTGGTAGGGAAAGAAGGGACTCTGCTACTGGAAAAAACAAAACAAAACAAAAAAAACCCCCAAACCCAGAACTAGACAGTTAATCTCTA